ACCCGCAGTGCACAAATATAAGACATGTGATTTATAAAACTAGATTTCAAAGACGAATAACAAATAATGCATCTGACTTAGCCCAGGTAAACAACAGGAAGCCAAACATACTCAAACAAAACAATTAACAGGGACCAATCTGGGTTTCACTTGACCCACTGTTCAAAACACACACAGGACTAAATGCACAGAAAAGCACTCATTCTTATCAGAGCATTTATACGTATAAAACAGAAGAGGGGCAGATCCCAGAGGAAGTGTAGGCTGAGGCCCAAAAGGCACGTACACAGGGGTCAAAACTGTGGCGCTGTGGAGCGTTTTCACGGCCGGGTGAAGCCCTAATCTGCCCTTTAGTCACAGTTCTGTCAGCGCGCACACAGACGGCAGCGGTGACGGCTGAGGATTAAAATGGTTGCAGTCATCCTTCTCGTTTAATTTGCACACATCCATCTGCTTCATTTAAAACAAGTTTGTTGTGCATGTCACTGAAATTTAAATAAAAATATGAGTTCCTTTAATAAATAAATCATAAGCTTGTACATATATATATTTATTGACTGTAAGAGAGAACACTGCTGTTTTTTTTAATCAAGTTGTCTTGTCTCTGGTTCTCTGAAAAGAGGAAGAAAATCAGTCAAAAAAATTTTTACTTTGAGTTCCTATTAGGTAATAATACTGGGTAAACATGCGTAAAACCTGTTTCGCAAAGTCACACGTGGACACACCCATCAGGGATTTTCTCCCTGATCAACAAAAGAAAAGCCAGGACCAGGTAGAGAAGGTGGGTAGAGGCAACATTGGGAGCTGTTGTTTTGGCTGCAGGCTACTGCACCTTACAGTCCGCCAGGTTTCTGCGAAAACAAGCCTTCGTTCAACTGAAACTACCAAAAAATATCTTTGAAAGAAAAACAATTATATCTGAGGCTGAATAAGGCCAGTGCAGTGTAGACAGACCACTGGGTATGAGGGGAGAAACGAAGGCAATCAAACTGTTGAATAGAGCTCTTTGTAACCTGTCATGAGACTTCAGAATGGCTAAAAAGATAACTCTCTTCTCCTCAACACAATCTATGAGGCAGGACTAGTTTTTAAAAGCAAACTAAAAAATAATTAATACAGAAATATTTTGTAAAAGTACAAAACAAGAAGTGGAGGGAAAATATATTCACTTTTCCCCCTCAATAACAAACCTCCATAAAACTGAAATAATAAAAGTATGTGTTTACTTTCATAAAGTAAAAAAACTGTTGTGCTTATAAGCTCTTTTGATTTATTGACATTTGAACATTTACTGATGTTTGGTCTAATAAATTTCAAGAGAAACTTTAATGGATGAAATCCCAAATGTCAAACAATTAGTGCTAAATATTTATATCTCTCTGGGGTCGTTTGATTGATTGTTTTACTAGTTCTCATCTTCAATCTTGCAGCTGGGAACTGTTTGAATAAAGTCGTGGTATTGTGTTAACCAAGCTGTACAATTTGCTTTGATTACAATTCTTCTTTAATAAAAAATAATACACATTTTATACAGATTTAAACTTTGTTTGTCAAGTTGTTCCCATAAGTCAAACAACATGTACTTTCAAGACGAAACAAGAAAACAGACAATCAGCTGAGTTTTACCACCACTCAATATCAATTATAACATTTTTATATAAAATGATAAATGAACAATTTTTCCTGTAATTGATGGGCACATTTAAAATACTTTAAATGTGGAAACTCACAACAGGAATGAGTAAACAGGGTCATAACAGAGCATTAGCAGTATGAATGAGCTTGTTGAACAGCTGCTTACTTAAAAGGTCTCCCTAAACCCATTCCAAAAAGACAAGTCACACTGTATACAGCTGCTACCTTAGATCGACTAGACTGTCTGCATTAAACTGTGCCCTGCCTCAAATATAACATTTCCTTCCTTTAAACACCAAAAAGTTCACAGTTTTGTATAAAAGGAGACCTCATTTCAGCAGAAAACATAATCTAATAAGCAGTGCAGTGGGGGTGAGTCACAGCAAACTTAAGGAACTATCAGGACGTCTAAATCTCCATCTGTTCACTGTTAAACCCCTACCAGCACAATCTAGACCAATCCGCCCACAGCACCACACTTATACCCTTCACAGTCATTTGTTCTGTGTTAATGTCTTTTATTTTTAATTTACCTCCTTGGAACTGTAAAGTCTGCACTAATGGTGTGTTGTTCCAACATGTTCCAACACACCTATTCGTCTGAAACTAGCCCCACCTCACAGGTCAGTTTCGTCTTTTGAACGTGTCCCGGAGCAGGGACAGTTCGAAAGCATCACCTCTGAGCTGATTACTCTCCGTCAGTGGCATATGTTCCACGCCGAGGTGCGGCCGACAAAAAAACACGCCAAGTTATCCCGACGGCGTGCCGCGAAAGGCTGGCTTGTTCGCAGACACAAAAGGATAACCCCGATGAGAGGAAAAACAAACAGATGTTACACTGACGGCTAAAAATAGACAGAAGAGTCTGTCCACACACTCATCCCTGACCGGAATATACAGTGAGAGAAAAGGAGCAGTCAAACGCGTAAAGAGGTATTCAGGGGCTTAGTTGTGAGCGTGTAATGGCGATGCCGCTCATCGTCCAGTCGGCGCTCCTGCTCTGAACTCAGCGTGGGTCTGACCCCCTTGCTGAAGCCCCACTGACTCCGAGGGCCAGAGAGGGCCCATACGCTTTGTGTCTGCACGCTACGCATTTACTGTGACCACACCAGACTGTCACTGTGCATTTATGYCTCCGGAGCGAAGCAAGTCCCACACAGAGACGGTGTTGGTTAGCTGTCCGTTCTGGGATATTTGAGAGTACAAATTCATTTAAAATAAGAGAACTTTCAGTTTGCTGCTGGCACATTTGATCCACCAAAGCAGGCCTTCGGTTTTGGCAAAAACTAATAGTTAAAAGTGAAGATGGAATAAATACTCAGCGGCAGATAAAAGGTGTTTAGACCTGCTCCATGTTAATTGATGAGAAAACCTGCGGGCAAGTCTAGATAGTTACGTTTAATTTAGGAAAGGGAGAAAGAAACAACTTTATTCATTTACTTTTATAGCAAAGCATAAAAAATAGGTAACTGAATTTCACAAAATACCACTTGTATTTGTGGCTCTAGGCTAAAATACAACAGCTGATGTCACTTTTATGGTTTAAGTAGAAGCTTTGACTATCAAAACACTTCAAAAAAAGAAGCAGCAACAAATGTGTACCTGCTGCTAAAGCACAAACACAAAATCTGTTCCGTTGAGGATTCCCAGAAGGTGGCCGTTTGCCAACACGTCTTTCTGTCTCTGCTGACCTTAAAGTGTTAACACTCTTCATTAGCGAATGTGCCACTTGTCCCTTTCACCACAAAGCTAAAAAAAATTTTAAAAAATGTGCGAGACTGCCGGCATCTACAACTGGCCCGCCTGTTCATTCAGACTCCCTGCCAGATCCCAATCACAGCTAGATCATTGTCCCGAGAACTGAACAATGGCCTGAACTAAATTAAAACAAGGGTTTTGTTCCACAAGCCTGAACTGGAGAGCTTTGGGGGAACACAGACCATCTATCCTAAAATAAAACAGGGTTAGGCCTGGGAGAACCGTTTGTCATATTTCAAACTTTAGGTTTGTGGGTGGGGAGAGCTTTGCATGTCATTCCACACATGCCTCTGCACAGGATCCAAACGGGCTGACTCTAAACTGACCCCAACAAAGCTCTCAACAACCAAGCTCCATCTGATATTAAAGAACTTATTGTTCCATGTTTTCCCAACAGAGCACTTCGCTCTCAGACTGCAGGCTTACTTGCAAACTAAAAGTAAAAAACTGGAGGCAGAGCTTCCAGTTTCTGTCCGTGGGGCTGTCTAGTTTGAAAACCAGGGTTAAGCCTTTCCTTTTTATGATAAAGGGTTAATTTGGGTTTCCTAAGCTATCCCTTAGTTCTACTGCTATAGGAATGTACATTTCCTCACTTTGCTGTTTTTACTCTCTCTTCTATGCGTTTGTATTTTTCAGTTATTGTTGTGTTTTTCTTCCCCTAGAAACTACACCTGGCTCGATTCTTCTGCGTTTGTATTTTTCCTGTCCTCTTAAAATACCCAATGAGCCCGGGATCTGTTGTCTCAAGCGTGCTTCTGTATAGCCTCAAGATTTTATTAAGTATACATATCGGAGAACAGAACATGGTGTCAGAAGTATAGACTACTTAGCGAAGAGAGAGACAACTCCATCTTAACAGGTGTTCCTTTATTCTGGTCCCCCCCAAACACATTACAGCACAAAGGTTCCTATCCACGGATAGCCTGATGCTACAGTTTCCTCATGTTAAAAGGGAGTCATTTCTTCCCACCATCACCTCTGTGTTTGCTCAGGCTGGGAGACTGTGACAAGGAAGATTTGACACAATCTATGGGCTTCTTTTGACATTTAACTAATAAACATTTTGTACTGTACATGAAGGAATTTGTTGTGAAATGGGTCAATGTAAATAAACTGAGTTGAGCACACTGCATGTTAAGTGTACCGACTGTTTTGGTCCGAGTTAAGTCAAAACATCCATCTTATTCGCAGTGTTGTCGAAACCCTGGTTCCTCATTTTTATTTTCTAGTTTCTCTAGAAATAATTAGTGCAGATAAAATCTCACAGTCAGGTAGTTCTAACGTGACTGGCTTTGTTTGGTGAAACTATTGCAGAATTAAATGGGTGTAACAGCAGAGAAACTTTGTCATTCAAGGTCTCGATCCAACGCCTCGGGTCATCTGGTCAAAGTTAATAATCTCAAAGTTTATATGGAGGAAGGAGCCTGTACTGAGGAAGTATGAATCAGGTGATTATCACCAGCTTTCACTCCCTAAAAAAACCAACCTTTGCTTCTCAAACAGGTGAATAAAACTTAGGTGTGCGCGGGTGGAGTGATGCAACTTGGCCTAATTCTCTGACGCTTCATTCAAAGCACATTTGGGCGCAGAGGACATGGTGGACGTACCTTTGGAAGCTCTTTGAGTTGGTTGGAATCGAGGAGAAGTTCCTCCAGGGTGCGACTGTAGCGGAAGATTTCATCCGGGACCGTTTTTAAGTTACAGTGCCGCTTGTCCACGGACTCGACGTGGCGGTTGCAGCGCCACAGAGGGATACACTTCAGCATGTCCGGCCGCCGTGGAGGGTCTGGTTGCCGGTGCTTACTGGAACCTCCGCATCAGAGGGTGTGGAAGGTCGCCGGGGAGAGCGGTGGTTGCTCCTTACGGGAGCGGGGCTCACTCAATGTCAAAGCACCTACTGTGCGGTCCCCACGATGATCCGAAACAGGAGGCCGAAATCCACTTAAGAGACACAAAATAATCCCTTCGATCTGTTAGCGATATATAATCCCACAATCTCGGTTCATTAGACTCGTTTTTTACGATCGACAGGCTCGTCCCAGCCGTCATCCAGTCCGGAATTGCGATTAACATAAACAAAACTGAGCACTCCCACTGGGCTCAAGTGTTTCCTCACTTTCTTGCGCTCACTTTTTCACGCAGAGCGACGTTAGCTTGTCTTTAGCACCATCCTCGAATCAGCCCGAAGCTCCGCCGAGGCTAGCTGCASATATGACATCCAAAACCCCAGCAGCGACGCAGAAAAGCCGCTTCAACCTCCGTAGTCATGAGCGCTGACCGAAAACAACCATTTCCGTCATGACAGTAGAGATAAACGGCTACGAGCAAGAAGCCAACACCTTACACGGTGAGAGTCAGCGGAGAYTATCCGAGTGTGTGAATGATGTGCTCGTCGTCCTCGGCGGGTGTTGTTAGCAGGCTAGTTTAGAGTTAGCCAACATCGGCTCATTGRACGTCTTTGTGCCAAGGTGCCATTAGCCAACACGGGTTTGGTAAAATACAATTAAAACACACTGGCAAACCTTATGTAGTGTCGACACTCCAAAAGTAAGAATAAAAAAAATCTAGTGTTCGTTTGAACCAGCGTTGGTAAAAAAATCCCAGCAGAGAACGGGAGTTTCGGCAACAACCGCGCTTACCTCCCCGTTAAATTGAGGCAGGCCGGTTTGGCGTGTGGGGGGCTGGGCTAGGCTCGAGCTGGAGCACCGCCGCTTAGCTGCTCTACAGCAGAGGCCACGAGTTGTTGTGGAGCTCCACCTAGCGGCCGAACTGATTACTACACCACCGAACACCTTCAAAATGTAATAAAATATAAGAAACCTTTTATATTAATCTAATTACAAACACTAGTTTTGGATTCTCGATTTWAAAAAAAAAACTTCGTAGAAGGACGCATGTAAAGCGACCACAGCTGATGAAGACATTTACTTTAGACATTTGTTGAAACAGCATAAATATAAAACTTTTAAGCCATTTTGAATCTTGGTTACATTACTGTCATCAATGTTTTTGCTACTTGAATGTGTAAATGAAAAACGAACCAACAATAAATTGTAATTATGGTTGACTGATGGTTCTGTAAAGCTCAACAGAAACACACTAAAAATAAGATTTACTAGATTGCTAGAAAAGCATGTGCCCCCATGTTGTTTTAATACACTTGAATTAGTTAATGTGTTAAGTACATGTTTCTAGATTACATTTGCAACAAAGACTATGTAGGCGTTTCAATCTGCTTCGTTACTAAAAAGCATCTGTAAATAATAAAAAAAATGCAACAAAAAAATTTGTGGACAAACAATAACCTTTAATTGTAAAAAGAAACGGGTGTTTACACGTCCCAGCATATCATAACAGAAAACAAAAGAGCTAAAGCAGGAAAAAAAAAAAAAAAAAAACCTAAACATTTTACAAGATCGAATTACAAAAATTGTTTAACTTGCACCAAAGGGAGTCTTCACAGATCACAAAGCAAAACTCTGACAGTTACTTCAATGAGTCCCCCCTCAAAAGGAGCTTTTAATATTAATATTGACAGCAATTAAAAAAAGGAAAAAAAAAAGGTGACAATAAAAACATACTGTAATTACAAGTTTCAGGGCCCACGTCTTTAGCTGCAGTGACAATGACTGAAATGATGTGGTGACAGGTACTGGAACAGGTGCTGGTCAATCATTTCAGACCTCTACGCAGAGAGGTCGCTGCTGTTAAAACGATCTTGGTCATACACTTCGGCAACGACTTTGCGACCTCCGAACCAGCGGTCATTGAGAGCCTGGATAGCTTTGTTCATCTCTGAGGCTGCGGAAAACTCTACAAAAATTTTGACTATGATATCTGCGTCTTCTTCCTCTCCTTGCTTTTCCTGGTATATGATGACTCGGTTAACTGTTCCAAACTTCCCACACTCCTCCGTCACCTCGCCCTCCAAGTCGTCGTCGATGTCCTCTGGTCCAACCATGTTTCGAAGCACCATCACTGTGGACTGAGGAGCAGGATAAGAAGTGTATGAGTACAACATGATCCTGGTGATAAATACGACTCAYAAGAGCTTTTATGARTATGTCACCTCTGATTTTCTGAGCAGCTTCTGCATCACCATGTGTCTGGCACTGCTGCCGGAAATGCTCATGTGCTCCTGGTCACTTAACATCTCCTGCCCTGTACCATCCTGAAGGGTCTCCTCTTTCTCTTCCTTCTTTTCTTGTTGGTTGGAGCCACCAGTCTGGTTAGACAGGACTGGCGGTGACGCCAGCACTGGGTTTACAAGACCAACTTGGGGGATCACTGGTATAGGAGGACGCACTGGAGTCACACCTGTTTAGGGGAGGCAGTCAMTGAAACTGGGCAAACGTATTTGTTTCGACAAAGATGACGTTTGAATATTTGCAAATTGATAGAGTAAAGAGTTTTAACAGGGTTCCCACACCATGGTCAATATCAAATTCAAGGACTTTCCAGTACCAATTCTCTCGAATTAAAGAACTACGYGCCATRGCAATTACCTACTGCTACCACAGAATGTTACCAAAAAACAGGTTTAATTAATATCATGTAAACAATGAAAAACTGAACACAGAAGCTGAGTCAGAATCAATGAAAGAAAGTGGATTAAATGTACACCCTCTACTCTGATTGGGTAAAACTTTGACTATGGTTCACGTTAGTTGTTGAAAGCCACGTCAGTTTACCGTAATCCTGAGTTATCCACTGCAACAAATGTAAGTTTTTATTTTAATTTAATGTCATAATTTATTTTTAAAAGGATTATGAAGATCAGTCATGTGAATAGAGCATTTCAATCCCCAAAAAACATTCAAGGACTTTCAATGACAAGCGTAATTTTTGGCTGTTTTCACAAACTT